TCTCTCTCTCTGTGTGTGTGTATACAGGGGTGTCCGATACTACATCAGTTACCGCACCATTTGCATTGCCTTTGAGATACTAACTATCTCTCGCGTGTATCGGCTGTTTCTACTCACAGACAGCGAACCCATGCGCAAAAGGAGGCGAAGGGCCCCAACCGCCGCCAAGACAAACGGTACCACCAGCACTACCCAAAGCCAACCACACACACACACACAACCACAACAACAATACGCGCCACGCAACACTGCAGCAAGTGTGGGGGTGACCGGAAGTACGGCTGCCGATGGTAAGAGAACAGACACGAGAGACGGGGGAGTGGTGCATACGAATGCTGTGCATGTGCGAAAGCCGTCTGTGCCCAAGCTTACACTGGCGCAGAAGCTGAGTAAAAGGAGGCCTACGAACAAACGGACCAGCGGATTCACATAGCGGGTGTTGTGATATAGTCTGCAGTTGATTATAGCGTATAGAATGCAAGCTAACGATACGGTTGTGATGCGGGTAGTAATAATAAAGCGCACATGACAGACCAGTCTTGGTTAACGTTTTCACTCACCCGGGATGGGCATAAGTTGATTGTACATTAATATTTTCATTCCGCACTAAGCACTACCAAGTGCGTCGATTTTTTCTACCTAAGCTTAGCTGCGCACAGTTCAGCCTATGCCAAGGTTTAGGGTGTGCCATACTATACTGATAAGATTTTAAAAGATCACAAATTTTAGACATAGCAGAGGACAATGCACAGACAATTGAAAGGAGCATTTGACAGGCTATGCTTTTGCACGGCCAACCCCTTTGGACAGGGCACGCGGTTACACGGAACAGTCTGGGAAGAGACTGATTCAAATATCACAGTATAAATGAAGGCTAGAGTATTGTTCATATTGCACAGAGTGTTCTACTGCCATCTCGTGTACTTCGCTTTGCTTTTTAATTACCATCTGGTTAAGAAAAAGCAAAAAAAAACACAAACAAACGCCCCACTATACATGCGGCACTAGAGAGTGGAGTTGAACAAGAACAAGTAAGTTTAAGTCAGCAGATTCCCCAGTCAACACAATAGATACGTACGATGCAACAACAACCCAACAGTACAAACCCTAAACCCTAAAGCAAACAAGGTCATTAGTGCGCCTCAGAAGCCTTTAATCGTTCGGAGGAGGAGGAGGAGAGGCCACGCAGTTGGCAACCTCAGCTACACACGCGCGCATCGCACACGTGCATGGTGTGTGGAAACACATGTGAAGGCTATGGCAGGGATGGCTACATAAATGTCTGACTGCCAAGAAAAAGACTCACACAACGGCTAGTCACACACGAGTGGAGAGGGTGTACTGTGACTGATAACCCTAAGAACCCTGAAGTGAATATAAGTATGCCTCGTGGACTAATTGTTACAATAGTACATGCAGCAACTAGCGATGGATAGGTTGCTTGGATACGTACTGCAGAGATGGGTCTCTCGCCTGCCGTATTTGGGACTATCAATCTACACGGACTATGCTGTTTGTTTTCACTGCACTATCTGTGCTATCTGTACTATTAAAACTACTGTACTATTTATACTATTGATGCTACCTATACTATTGAATACCTATATGTACTATATACTATCAATATTATCTATGCTTTCAATGATACTTATACTAATTATATTATCGATACTACCTATACTATTCAATACCTATCTGTACTATATACTATCAATATTATCTATGCATTCAGTGATATTTATACTATATATACTATCGATACTACCTATACTATTCAAAACCTATCTGTATATACTATCAATATTATCTATGCTTTCAATGATATTTATACTATGTATACTATCGTTATTACCTATACTATTCAATACCTATCTGTACTACATACTATCAATACCATCTATGCTTTCAATGCTCTCTGTACTATTTAACTATCGACGCTACCTATACTATTCGACACCTATCTGTACTGTATACTATCAATATTATCTATACTTTCAATGATATTTATACTATTTATACTATCGATACAACATATACTATTCAATACCTATCTATTCTATCAGTACTATTCATACAGTTAACACCATATATACTAGCTTTTTTATTCTCTAGTATTGTTCATTTAGTAGTAGGCTGTGTGCTTTTATCTCTTGCAGAATTCAAAAGAATGCTACAAGATGTATTTGCGTTTTTGTTTCAGAGGTGATGGCCATAGATTGTATCAGGGTTTTTGGGTTTCTCTGGGGAGAGGAAATATAGGCCCATATATAGCCCCCAATAGGATTCAAATTTCAATCCTAAAATCCCGCCAAAACTTGCTTATAAAAATTTGAGCGGAATGAAACACGAAATATGCGCAAACGTATTGGGTGTTTCAGGACTGAGTATTGACTGTGGGCACACCAGTCACCACTGACTCCAGTGACTTCACAGATATTTAGATCAATGTAAATACATGTACTTCTATTTATATTTAGAAATATACAAATATAAATATACTAAAGTGAAGCTAAGCATATTTACACACACTTGATGTACCTGATACACAGTATTACACACGTTACAAACAGCACTACTACACTCTACACAAGTCAGGGCAGCGACGGCCACAGATAGACTACACATAAACTACACAATGAATTACGGGGTAAGTGCGTGTTGGTTGGTTGCGTGGCATGTGTCGATCCCGGAATACATTGAAGTGTTAACCAATCAAGCGTGACGTGTATGTATTCTAATTGTAGGGGGTAGATAACATGATACTTCATCCTCAGCAGCGGCTGAGACCATTGAGTCACTTTATCTACATACCTGTTATAGGCCTCTACTGGGCACTCTCGTGTTCAGCAATGAATTGTGGTAGGTGTATCATGTAGACGGACTATAGTGCTACCAACAATCTAATGTTCGGGTCTAGACATTGTACGCTTTCAAACACGTGCGCGTGTTCGTATCTCCTAGCGCGTACCGGTTGAGAATACTTCATTTTCGTATTCCGACGGATTGAAGAATATGGGTTTTGTTCCCATGTTCCATCACATTTCGGTAGAGGTTGAAGTCTTAGTCTCACCCACAACTGCAGCCAACAACGCACGCACCCACTCGCTTAAGCAGATGGACGTGTAGTTTAGTGCACGCATTGCGCATGTGCATGTAGTTAATTAGTTACAATTAATTAATTAGATGGTTTAGTGCGGCAGTGAAATATTGTGCATATCACGACCAAGCAGAGCAGCGGAGGTGATAGGACCTGTTTCCTTGGTGACACAGATGTGACCAAACATTGACGATACATTCACACTTTTTCATCCACTCCTCATCACGCAAACACACACGTACTTGCATATACAGACACACTGCCTCATTGTCAGACACTCATATAATATGCAACATACTCACTTAACAATAATAGAATCAGCAGGCAACTGTATGAATTCTACTTCAACGACCCCCTTAGATACAGACATGTCCGTACACTTGTTCTTAGACACTCTCTACTGTACATAATACATACACATACACATACACATACACACACAAACATATACATAAACACATACACATACACTACACATAAATACACATGCACATGCACATACACATGCACATACACATGCACATACACATACACATACACATACACACACATACAAACATATGCATTCACATACACATACATTTATACATACACGTACATACACACACATATACATACACATACACACACACAAAAATATACACATACCCTTACATATACACATACATACAAACATACACACACACACACACACATACACATATGAAGACGTTTTTTTCATTTTCAGTCGCCTGCACATCACATACAAACACGCACCGAAGAATTAAAAGGTTAGAGATCTCCGACAAGACTTCCTACCAACATCTCGCACTATTACACTTATATGCATCTTTTTGTGGCGCATTTAAGACACCGCTCATATCCGTTGTCCACACATACATGTACGCACACACACCCACTCAACCACTCACAACCATTCACAAACGCACACAGAACAATCAAGAGGCGGGTGGGTTCCAACAAGACTTCTCACTCAACGGCGATGGCGGCGGTGGTGGTGCTGCACCGGTGAAGAAATACCTACCAGTCACACTCAAACAGATTATAGAAGCACACCACACAGACGGCGAGGATGTCTACTACATCGATGGGCACGCACCCAGCAAGG